TATATTAGATATTTTTCCCAAGATCACAGAGCACTGGGATTCAAAAGTAAGTCCTTACTTTTAATATCTACTCTATTCGGACTTGCCAAAGTATATTTTCTCTTGTTACAAAAACCTATTAGGAAATTAAATTGAGGCCAAAATGCAATTTGGTGGCTATAGACTGAGAACTGAGCCCATTCTTGTAATACTGTCATCAAGCTGCAGACCCTTCTTGACGGTCAGAGCACACCTGTCCGGTGAGCTAACTGCTCGTTTGTATCAGCCTGCCAGGGAGCAGCATGAAATTGATAGGTCTCTATTCTCCAACTTGGGAAAACCAAGAATGATTCGTGGGAAAAAAGTCTTACCGGTTTTGTTCTATTTACCAACAGTGGAAAACTGAGCCCGTTACTCAACTTAGGCTCAGTTTTGTCACAGAAAAATAGGGATAATGATGCCTATGCACATGTGGGCAAATGCTCTGTAAATGGCAGTTTATGTTATTGGGTTCTGAATTTTCACATTTACTCAGTTGTGACGCAATACCTTTAAACCATCCTTACAATTTCAACACACTAGTTTATCCAAAATACATTTTCAGCGGGCTCCTTCCTGACTACTCCTGGGAAGGCTTTCTGTAACCACTGATCACAATCACAGGATATAGATTTACCACTCCTGGGGGTGTATTTTCTCCCTTTGCCTATATTCAGCTATTCTTAAGCATCCTTATGGAGTCTGCCTCACCTGTATTAGCAGCTGTCATTGAAAATTACCTTTTTATTTCTTACCTCATTCAAATCTTGTACTTGCACTGTCTCTTGACTTTTCATACAGGTTTCTCTGGTGTTTTCCTATATTACTGATAACTCGGGCTCTAAGAGGGAAATCTTAATCCAAATAAATCATCAGTTAAAATACATACATACATGTGTTATTCTTAAAAATACTGAAAACATAAGCTATAGTTCTTAAGCGTCCTTCCCTGAAGCTACACCTTGAAAACTTTCCATACCAACCAGTTTCACCTCTTGTCTGGTCTTGGATCCTTTGGAGAGTTGCTTTATTAAGTGTTTGAGCCCTCACTGCTGTTTGGCAGCTGAACCAAAGGAACCAAGTATTAGAAAAATACACAGGATCCTCATTGTCCTGATTTAAGCTGGTAATGTACCTTTTTTTTCACTTTTGAAAAGTAACATTTTATTATAGATTGGCCCAGTAACAAAACTATATGCAAAAGAAGCTTCTGAGTATTTAGATGTAATTTAGAAATAGAAAACACCAACACTGATATTACTTTTATTCAGAATTAGGTTTCAACAGAAACTTCAATTAAGTTTTTAGTTTAGTTCAGAGACAAAAACATTCATTTACTTGAGCTGAAGAGGAAAAGGTTGATCCACCAAAAAGTTTTACCTAATTACATTTTGGAGAAAAGTATTCTGGGGCTTTGCTTGTCCTTCTGGATTCATAATTTACTGCCAGATATGTACTAAATTAACCAAGAAGCTTTTCAAAAATTAATTTATTAGTTTAGTAAAGTTGATCATCAATAATTTACCTTTCTTGTGTTTAATATTCATAAAATAGGAAGAGATGGATTGGAAAGAATGGGACAGGCAACTGGAAAAATGGATGCTGAAACCACCCCACCCCCCAGTGTAACTTTTACAAATCCTCCTGTCTGGGGTATAGAAAAAAGACCTGGTTAAGAATCAGGTCGACTTCC